TATTTATTCACACATTGCTTATGAGCACTTAGATGATCTCATGAATTGAGTCCTAACAGTAGTGCCACAAGAGACATGGATATGTGAGTTTCTACATTATATGCTGCTTTGCATACATTTGAATATGTACTAAGGTGTGGACTAGCCAAATCATTTTAGTTCATCTATTTTTTAGAATTTTTTACTATGCTCTGACAAGAGAAGCTCAGTTACCAACATAAATCTTGAAAGCGCAAGACTGTTTGAAGAGAACATGGGAGAAAATTTGCGTAGCAACAATTCAAACTTCGAGCTTCTAGATTTAATTTTAAAGTGTAAGTAAAAATGTCAAGAAGAGGATCCTGGGGAGATGAAGAAGTTGGTAAAATACTTACCATGCAGACATGTGGTTTTGAATTTAGTTCCTTAAACTCATATCAAAAAATGTGTGCAGTGGTACACATCATTTTAATGATAGTGTTGGGCAGATAAAGAAGATCCTGCATTAACAGTGATGCCAGTCAACCCTAATTGTCAGGTTCCACTCCAGTGAGAAGTCCTATCACAGCACCATTGGACAGCATCTGAGGAAAGAACTCCAGATTCTCTCTTGGCCTCCACATGCAAACATTCACAAGGATACCCACAAAACCTCAAGTTTTCACATGTAAGCAATGCCAAAATGGTACTTATGAAATGAGAACTCTCTACTAGGAATAAATAACAGTATGAAGGCGGAAAATATTGACTGGAAAAAATCAGAATAAAATAAAACAAATCAGGAAAATTGCAAACCAATCTTCATGAGGAACACAATTTAATGCATTCTCAACAGAATACTAGAAAAATGAGTTTAAGAATATGTCAAAAAAGATTCATCATGACCATTTTGACTTTATGCTAGATGTGCAGAGATTGTTCAACATATGTAAACCACTATATACTATATCACACATGGGCTCAAGCACAAAAGTCACATGATCTTCTCAGGAGAGAAAGAAGAAAGCCTTTTTAAGAAGAATGCAACATTCCTTTATGCTAAAATTCTTAATGAAAACAGAGAATCAAAGAAACTTACCTCAACATAATAATATAATTGGCCAAGCTATAATCAACAACATGTTTAATGGAGAAAAGCTCAGAAAAAAAAACTTTGTTCCTAAAATCAGGAATTTCCCCACTCTAATTAAATACACAGAAATTTGGTTGATGAAGTTTAATTTTTTCCAGAACGTTGGTATATGTCCTAAATCTTTTGCAGTTACTCAGTCATGTTGAATTGATATATTTGGAAGGCATCCCAGTGTGTGTGATATTCTAAGAACTCATTCTACCTAAAAACTACTAGTGGATGGGATGGAGTGATGGCTCAGCCATTAAAAGCTAGAATCACAACTAAAACTTTCAAAACTATCCATGGCTTCTTCTGTAATTTTTTTGGTTTGAGATGCTTTAAGACATTATCCATGAAAATACTGTCCAATAACTTTGAAGTGGTTTTCTAGTCAACTTCTTTATTTCTCACTCTAACAAAGTGGGCTCCAGTCAAGCAGAAACTTGTTCATTACCTGAACAGTCAATGGGTGTGAATCTTTCCACCTTTTGGGTTTTTTTATGATTGCATGTGTTTATTCCTTTTGTTTCTTGTTTTTCTATCATTTTTCCAATCCCCTAGGTGTAGGAAGGAGTAATGAGTAACAACTGGTCTCCAGTAGAAATCCCTGAGGTAAATTGGTTCTAGAAAGGACGTGGGTAGTTAGTATATCTTTAATGAGTTATACAGTATCTAAACTCCTAAGGGATTCGAGCCCTTTAAGGCCCAGGAATGTCCACAGGAGAATGTGAGTAGGGATAGAGCAGATATATGATGAGCACACAGGCCACTAGTTCCTGTGCCTGCAAACAAAATAAAGATGAGTAGGATACTGAACCAGAAACTTTAACTCAGCCTCAGCGGATCTGGCTACATTCAGGAAAGTGAGATGTTGTCTTTCTGTCAATCCACATGAATTTCAAGTGTGATGCAGAACAAATTTCAGGTATAATAACATTCTTCTTTTTTCGGTCTTCCAAAAATTTATCAGACTGTGAGTGTTTCATGGTCATCATATAATCACTTTCGTGTTAATGGCTTTATTACAATTACTCATCATATAATTTCTTCTCGATATCCCATCATTTCAATTCAAGAGTAGTACTGTGAGATGGAGTTCACTGCTCTAGTGCTTATTGGTTTAATATACTTTACACTGTGGGGTCTTATCAAACTCTGAACAATGCCCTACCCAAGATGATGATCAATCTGATCTGTACAAGTTCACAAACCTGTGTTCTAGTGGTCACAAATGTGTTTTCTTCTAAGTATAGACCATCAAGGAAGACAATAGCATCATCCAGGTGCTCGTGTAAAATGAAATCTATACAATCAAATCAGTTCTTCTTCATAATCCAAAATGTTACACAAGGGTACCAACTGTTAGAAGCATATACCTTGTTATTTCTAGGTGCTGTTTAATTTGAGAATTGTGGTCTTAACATCTTAAGAAGGCAAGAACACCATTAGCTCATTATTGGTAACAGTTGACGGTGATTTCTCTGGATTGTGATCTATGTGCACAAGCCTTCACAACACAAAGGTACTGTTTATTTAGAGAAAAGGCAGAAACCGGGGTTGGTGGTACACACCTGTAATCCCAAATGTTTGAGAATAGTCAAGAATGTTGCATGTTTCATGCCAGTTTTGAATCCATAAGGAGAGCATCTTTTTAAATGGTGCATGATTTCCCCCATATGGTTTACCCCTTTCCCAGGCTAATATGTGATGTTCATGTGTACAAACTCTGGCTTCAGTTGCATTAAACACTGCCAGTCTGTGAAGAAACAAGCAGTCAGACTTGGCTGTAGCATTTCAGAAGAAAATGATGATTACTACTCTTGATGTTTCTCCTGTTTTGTCAGCTTTGGAGCATGTAATAAGTTCATTAACCAGTGTTATCCAGAATCACAGAATGATTTGTGTATGTGTGTGTGTGTTTTTTTCTCTCTGTGTGCGCACATGCATGTGACTTAGGATACTGTCTGCATAGATTAGCAACAGATAAGGTAAACATGTGAAAACTGTGTAGAATATTGGGAATTCTGAAGAGCAGAGGCTATAGACTTATATCTAAGGAAGAAATGAAACTTTTTTCTACAGTGTATTGTCCTCTTCCCTAGTTCTTTCATTGGACTGAATGGAGCTCATGTTTTAAAGTGTTAGTTGTTTAATGCAAAATCTACAAATTTTAATGACATTCATAGAATATCTTATTACCAACTAGAATTTGTCCAAAATTGGTATTGGTCTTAGTTTACTTGATATGCTTATCAACTATCACACAGAAAGTCATCTGAGGAGTAACTTAAGTGAAGATTTCAAACTAACTTTGTTCCTTTTTTATAATTCATAAAAAAGTTTATCCTGTTTGTTTTCTGCAACAAAATCAATAACATTTTGTGGATTAAAGCTTATATATGTGACTTGAAGATATCAGTATTACTGAGAAGTGATGCAATGATAAGCCCCAACACTGTGCACATTAGAACTCTGATGCTCATTATAGAATTTAAAATTGAATTATATCTGTTCTAGGGTTTCAAGTGAAATGAGGAGTTTTCTACTATTGAAGTTGAAGAAATTTATATCAGTTTGAGCAGCAGGCAAAATTATTTCACTGTACAAAGTCATACATCATGACATGTACTGGCCCTAAGAAAAATTGTAAATAACCAAACAGAATTAAGTCATATAAGATCTCAAATGCACGTAGATTACAACTGATGTGAAGGTAGCTTAAATCAGGGACTAAAATAATAAGTGTATTGGATACATATAGGATCCTATGGGACTTGACTGAAGATCTTACTTAGTTTGTGGAGACAATAAATTTAGCTATGTATGTGATAAGCAATACATTTACATACAAATGGGGATGAACCAAATGATGGGGGAAAGGAGATAAGGAAGTGATAGTAAAGTAGATGAGCAACTCTAAAATGGAGGAGGGGAAGAGTTTTAACTCAAGTATTGATGAAGAGAAATACAAATGTCACTGAGAAGGCATATGGGTATATACCACAGGCACATGTGAGTATATGTAACAGTGTTTGCATCCCTGATAACAGCTTGGTCCTTATCTTATCCTCAGAGCAACAGTGGTAATGTGAAGCATGAATCAGACAATAGTTGATTGGACACCTCTGTTAGAATGCATAAATGAAGCATGCTGAGGAAGAAGAGAAGCATCAAGAGACATAAGAACATGGACATGAACTGTATTTGCTTTTGTGTTCCAGCAAAGTCAAGAGCTGATCCTGATATAAGGATATAATCTCACAGAAAGGGATGGATAAAATAGAGGCAGAATGAAGGGGAGACACTGTATGATGTATGACATTAGTTCAATGTAAGGAGAAATGAAAGGATCAAACTCAGAGACTTCTGACTCAAACCTGAATTTCTTTGACTATCCAATGAGAGACTGGAGAGGAGGAAGGAAATGAGGAATGCGTTGGGAGACAACAGAGTGAAGACATGAATCTATTTGTTACAGAGACATGCATATCTGAATTTGAAATGGTCATTTAAGGCACTGGAATATATGTGGGGTTTTTGAAACTTATATAAAATTTTGAGGACAAAGTTTATAAAAATTTTCAATCAGATCAATATACAAAAAAACATACAGCAAATTACAAATGAATAAACAACAGTTGAGCAGAATGATGGAGAGAGAAGCATTAGTGTAGTTGTATCTCAGTAAAAAATGCATAGATTTCTCTTGAAAAGGATAGGAGATAGAATCAGGTAAAGAAGTTAGGAAAAATCATTGATGATTGTAATGATTACAGATATTTGGAGTTTGAGGATATAGTCACTATAATCATTGTCAGATTTCTTTTTATACAAAAATACCCAAAATATATTTCATTTTTTATATAAAGGATCCTACTTTTTCTCAAGAGGATACTGGATAACAAAAATGATAGTGAAAAACCAAACTATCATATCTCACTTCATCCTCCGGGGTCTGCCCATCCCCCCAGAGCACGAGCACCTGTTCTATACCCTGTTCCTGGCCATGTACCTCACCACCATCCTGGGGAACCTCATCATCATCATCCTCATTCTACTGGACTCCCATCTCCACACACCCATGTACTTCTTTCTCAGTAATTTGTCTTTCTCTGACTTCTGCTTTGCCTCTGTCATAATGCCAAACTTGCTGCAGAACATGCAGAGGCAAGTTCCATCCATCTCCTATGTAGGTTGTCTGACACAAATGTACTTTTTTATTCTTTTTGCAAACATGGAAAACTTCCTCCTTGTGGTCATGGCCTATGACCGCTATGTGGCCATCTGCTCCCCCCTTCATTACAACAGCATCATGAGCTCCAGGCTCTGTGTGTGTATGGTAGCACTGTCCTGGGTGATTAACATGCTGTATTCCATGTTACACACCCTACTCATGGCTAGATTGTCATTCTGTCAGGACAACATGATCCAGCACTTTTTCTGTGAAACATCTGCCCTACTCAAGTTGGCCTGCTCTGACATTTTTATTAATGAACTAGTGATATTGGTCTTGGGAGGGCCCATTGTTGTTATCCCGTTCTTACTCATTTTTGTATCCTATGTACAAATTGTCTGTTCCATCCTAAAGTTTTCATCTGCTCGCATTATTCACAAGGTTTTCTCTACCTGTGGCTCCCACCTGTCTGTGGTCTCACTGTTTTATGGAACAGTCATTGGCGTCTACTTATGTCCATCAACTAATAAGTCTACTGTGAAGGAGACTGTCATGGCCATGATGTATACAGTAGTGACACCCATGATGAACCCATTCATCTACAGCCTGAGGAACAGAGACATGAAAGAGGCCCTAATAAGAGTCCTCTGGAAGAAGAAAATCTGCCTATAATGGCAGTACTGGGATTTTTTTACTTAAATTTACCTAATAAATATATTGAAATTAATATTACAAAATGTATCCCTACAATGGAACCAACATTCAAGTACATACATTTCATTTGCAAAACACAGCTTTGCAAAGTGGTTCAGGTATGGAACAAGATTTTGTTGACTTAGTGATGCCTTCCTCTGCCTTGCATGTGTGACTCTAAAAGCTTTAGTCAAAAATCACTGTTTTGACCGATCTCTAATCTTTCCCAAGATTTTGTGATAGTTCACAAATTTCTGTGTTAATATCATTATAATTCCCATGCTGAACCCTTTCATCCAGCACCTGAGGAACAGGAGATGATTGAGTGGAACTTAAATCTACCATAAAACCACTTTTGCTTTTTATGCTAATCAAAATACAGAGAGTATATGAATCATTATTCTGGAGTAACTGAAACCATTACATTAGCAAGCAAAATATGGCTGTTTTTCACAACAAGAACAGGCAGTACACTCTCTAAAATACTGGATATATCCTTAGATCTCACTTAGCATTTTACATTCACAAACAAAAGTTACTCATCTCTAGGAGCTCAAATAACATTAGACCAACAAGGATTGAGATTTCCTGGAGATGAAAATTTGTGTTTCATAATCAAATACAGAACTTCATCAGATGACTACCAAGCTCAGAACTACAATGAAGGAAGGAATTATAAATGCCACCAATGGCATCATGATCAATGATGAACTCATAGAACAGGGCATTAGGAAGTCATCTCACATATATTTAGAGGAGTTGAGGTAATGGTGGTAGAAGGTACTATCATGGTATTCATAGGTAAGAATACCAAATGAATGACCAGGCATAAAAACATGGACTGCTTTTCTTTTGGCTTAAGGAAGCATTAAATATTCCATCTACTTGCCATATTGTTGTAGAATATTATTTTAAGTTGTGTTACCTTTGTTTATGCTGCACTTGTTGAACTCTGTGAAGCTGTGTAACTGTGCCTGTCTAAAACACCTGATGGTCTAGTAAAGAGTTGAACAGCCAATAGTGAAGCAACAGAAAGAATAGGTGAGACTGGCAGGCAGAGAGAATAAATAGAAGGAGAAATCTTGGAGGAGCACAAAGAGGGATCAAGGAACAAGAGAGGAAGGAAGAGGAATTCAGAGGCCAGCCACCATGCTACACAGCCAGACACAGTAAAAAGGAAAGAAGAGGTATGCAGGAAAAGAAAAGAAAAAAAACCCAGAGGCAAAAATTAGATGGAATAATTTAGGTTAAGACAAGTTGGCATAAACCAGAATTTATAATTAAGAATAAGCCTCCATGTGTGATTTATCTGGTAGCTGGGTGGCAGGAAACAAAAGGAGTAAAGAAAACAAACAACACCATATTCCTGCCCTTCTCCTTGGCACACATATTTAGTTGATAGATGAAGTTTAAATTTTACTGGAAGATTGTGTCTATGCCCGAAACTCTTTCCTTTAGCAGCTAGACAATCATGTTGGATTGAGATGCTATATTTGGAAGCTGTCCCAGTGTGTGTGATCTTCTACAGTTTCATTCCACTTGCACTTAAATACTACTGTAGGATGGTCTGGAGAGTTTGAACTTCCATTAAAAGCAAGGATCACAGCCAAAACGTTTTAAACTATCTGTGGCTTCTTGTGTAAATTTTTGTTGTGTAAGACACTTTAAGTCGTTACCAATGAAAATAACGTGGGCTGGTTTTCTAGTCAACTGCTCCATTTCTCCCTCGAAAATGTGGGCTCCATCAAGCAGAAGCATGCTCATTACTTGACCAGTCGGTGAGTAGGCATCTTTCCACCTTTATTTTTTTAGTTTTCTTGGGACTGCATATGTAAATGAGGACTGTACTTTTGTTTCTTAGCTGCCCAGACCCAAATAATCACACATAACAATATTAATTATAACACTCTTTCACCAATGGCTCAGGCATGTTTCTAGCTAGCTCTTACATTAAAAATTAACCTATTACTATCAACCTGTGTTTCAGCACAAGGCTTTGGCTTCCTGGTAAGGTATCTTTCTCCTTCAGCAGCTATATGGCATCTGCCTGATTCTACCTTCTTTCTCCCTGCATTTATTTTAGTTTTCTATCCTATGTATACTGTGTCCTGTCATAAACCAAAGCAGATTCTTTATTAACAAATAGTAATAGGACATATTCACAGCATACAAACGGGAAAACTGCATCATACATGTCTTTGTTTTTGTTTTTATGTTGTTATTCTTTAAATTCTACTTTCCTGTTAGTGTAGGAAAGAGTGATCAGTGACTAGAATTGGTATGTACTGGAGATCCCTGAGGTAAATTGGTCCTAGGAAGGAACAGGATAATGACTATGTCTTTAATGAGTTATACAGCATCTGGACTCCTGAGAGATGCAGGGTGCCTAAGGCCCAGGACTGGCCACAGGAGGATGTGAGTAGGGATGGGCAGATAGGTAATGAGTACAGAGGCCACCAGTCCCTGTGTGTGTAAATAAAACAAAGGCGAGCAGGATCCTGAACATGAAACTTGGTCTCAGCATCAGCAGATCTGGATTCATTCAGAAAAATAAGCTACTGTATTGCTGTCAATCTACATGAATTTCAAGTGCCATGCAGAACAGTTTTCCAGGTACAGTAGAATTCTTCTTTTTACTGTCTTCCAAGAATTTATCACACTGAATCTTTCATGGTCATCATACAACAACTTTCATATTTATGGCTTCATTACAATTACTCATTATGTAATTTTCTCAATAACAAACCATTTCAATCCAAGAGCAGTGCTGTGAGATGGAGTTCACTGCCCCAGTGCTCAGTGATTTACTATGCTTTCCACTGTGGGGTCTTAACAATGTCTGAAGAGTGTCCTACCAAAGATGATGATCCATTTTATCTGTACAAGTTCACAAATTTGCACTTTAGAGATTTCATCTGTAATTGCTCCTAAGAGCAGCCCATCGAGGAAGACATAATATCATCTAGGTACTCATATAAAATGATATCCCTATAATCAAAACCAGTTTTTCTACATAGTCCAAGATGATATGCAGGTGTACCAGCTGTTAGAAATATACCCGTTGGTATTTCTAGGTGCTGTTTAATTTAAGAATGGTGGACTTAACATCTAAATAAGGCATTTACTCCCCTAGCCCATCATTGGCAACAAATGATGGTGATTTCTATGGATCGTGATTAATGTGCACAAGCCTCCATAACACAAAGGTACTATCTACTTCAAGGAGAAGAATAAACTGGGGATGTTAGCACATACTATAATCCTAGTGTTTAGGAAAGTGTAGTGGTATTGCATGTTTGAGGCCAGCCTTCTGTGTGTGTGTGTGTGTGTGTGTGTGTGTGTACATGCATGTGACTTAGAATACTGATTGTATAGATTAGCAACTGAAAAGGTGAACATTTGAAAACTATTAGAATATTGGGGCCTCTGAAAGTAGAGGTTATAGACTTTTATCTAAGGCAAAAATGTAAATTTTTTCTGTAGTGTATTGTGCTCTTCCCCTATTTCTTTCATCTGTCTGAATGAAGATCATATCATGAAGTGTTAGTTGTTTTACACAAAATCTGCTGATTTTAATGACATTTATAGAATATACTATTACCAACTATAATATGTCCAAACTTGGCATTGGGCTTAACCCTTTTGATGTATAAATCAACCATCACAGAGAGTATTGTCAATTGAGGAATAAGTTAAATGAAAATTCCAAAGTAACTTCGTTCCTTCTATTTTATAATTAATACAATTTTTCATCCTATTTGTTTCCAGCAAATCACATTTTATGGATCAAATCATATGTATATGACTTGGAGTTATCAGTATTATGGAACAGTGATGCAAATGATGAGCTCTACCTCTGCACATTAGATCTCTGGTGCTCATCATAGAGTGTAAAATTTAATGCTAACTCATCAAGTTTTTTAATTGAAATGGGGAATTTTCTACCATTGAAGTTGTAGAAATACATATCAGTTTAATCACCAGGCAAAAAAGTTTCACTGGACAAAGTTATATATCATGGCAGGAACTAACACTAGGTAGAGATTAAGAAAATTTGTAAATAACTAAAGAGAATGGAGACATTTAAGACCCAAAATGCATGTAGATTACAATTCATGTGAAGGTAGATTATTGCAGTGATTAAAAAATATAAATGCAATGGATATTTATAGAATTCTATGAGACATGGATAAAGTCTTATTTAGTATGGGGCACTGGTAAATTTAACTGTGTACATGATAAATAATACCATTTACATATGAAGGAGTATGAACCAAATGAAGGGAGAGAAGTGGGAAGGGAGTGATAGTGAAGCAGATGAGCCACTCTCAAATGGTAGAGATAAGACTTTTTTCCTTTTTTACCCCCTGACACAGGGTTTCCCTATAACTTTGGAGCCTGTCCTGGAACTAGCTCTTGTAGACGAGACAGGCCTCAAACTCACAGAGAACCACCTATCTCTGCCCCCCAAGTACTGGGACTGAAGACATGCACCACAACAGTCTGACTGAGAGGGAAAAATTTTAGGCCCAGCATGGATGAAGAGAGAAATACAAGTGTCACTGTGATCATAGGGGAATATATCACAGGCATAGGTGAGAAAATTAAACAGTGTTTGTGCCCCTGCTAGGAGCTGTGTCCTTATCCTCAGAGCAACAGTGGTAATGTGCAGAATAAATACGACAACAAAGGACGGAACTCCTCTGTTAGAATGTGTAAATGAAACATGTTGAAGGAGAAAAACAGGGTCAAGAGAATTAAGAACATGGACAAGAACTGAGTCTGCTTCTGTGATCCAGTAAAGAAAAGAGGTGATTCTGATATATTGATATAATCACACAGAAAGGAATGGAATAAATAGGAGAAGGCTAGAGAGGAGACTCTGGTGTTTTTTTGTTTTTGTTTTTTTTTGTGAGACAGGGTTTCTCTGTGGTTTTGGAGCCTGGGAGACTCTGTATAATATGTGACAGTAGTTCAAG